ATTAAACGCATAAAACGTGCGTGACGTTGGGGTTTTAGTCCACCATTGTGCAGGGATTCCATAGCTGCAAACAGAGGGAATTATCTGAATAAGGGTCTATAGAACATTTGGCTTGATGACGCCGACACCGCTGGGACGATAGATTTTTACTGCTCTTGACTTGAGATACAGGTATGGAGGTGCCAGACTTATCTTGTCCCAAGGACTTCCTGTACTGTGTTTACTTACTCCTTCACAGCTCAAGGATATTTTTGGTGCGTATCATATACAGTCCTGAATGGAAAGCGCCGAATAAGCAAGGACGAAGAAGGGGACAGAGATGAAGCACACTCTTAACTGAAGGTTTATTGAAACAAACATTTACTATTAATACCGTCTATCTGGGTGTTGGCTCAAAAAGAAAAACTCTTTATCTGTTAAGTGCAGTGACGGCGCACTAATACACAGACTCACCCCTTGCTCACTTATGCGGAATGCCTCGTGTATCTCTCGTGCTGTTTTGTTTTCGTATCTGCCCAGAACTGTTGTTTTTTTCAAATTCCGGGCCACATGGGCACCTATCACAATGCACCGCAAGACTGCCCGACGGGAACTGCTTCATTGACCAGGCATGTTCCCTGGCCCTCTCATTTATGCAACGCCCCGATTGGCCCGCATGCGATTTCCCGCAACTCATTGGTATGTTATGTACACTGTTAGCAAAAATAACACGCCCAGACGTGTAAACCGTTGTCCCATAGCGGACACGTCGAAACGTGTTCGTTTTACACGAGGCCATCTGTGTTTTTCGTCTATACATGAGTTGCTGTGTAAACTTAACACGCTACACAGTGTCTGCCTTCCGCAAAACCGTTTCGAGCGTGTTCCTTATGAAGCATGGCGGCCAGCGGCCGAGAACAGGCGAGAGACGAGCCCAGCGAGCCGCGCGCCTTTCAGGCGAATTGAAAGCACACAATGCGCGTTAGTTCTCGTTCGATGTCTTTTATACACAGTAAAGTCTCCAAGCGGCGGACGTAGCTACTTGCAAAGGTACGTACGTGTGTTGTCGGCGGCGTCAATAGCCTCAACGAGCCGCTAGACAAAAAAAGAAAAAAACGAATGCCGAACTCACATGGATAAATAACTTGAGCAAACTATTTACAATCGGGCGGTAACTTGCGCCACCTATCGAGATTTCTAGCAGCCTGTTTTTAAAAAAAAGACGAGTCTGTTAACACTGGGAACGACCACGGCCACACAGCAACCCTACATACAACGCAGGCAACACAGCACACAGCTACACGGCACCGACATATACACAAACACAACAACCGACACAACGCCCGACACTTCCTACTCGATATTCATTTCTCCCCGCGGCGCATATAAGCTTGACATGTGCGGGTGAGCTCCTTGGTCACTGACCATTACAGATTTATAGAAGAATACACAAAACACGGCGCAATGGACAGCCGTGTGTTAGAACTGTTTGCATTTAAAAAGTATGGAGGCAAAATCTATAATGCTAGTCCGTTGCAATAAATAATGATATGTTAACAATAAATCTTAAACCGGTCATGAAAAAGTTTAAATTTTTGTTATTTTCTTGCTTGACCAGTGTTATGAGCAGTCCGACTAGCATGAATCAGATAGAAAAACAAATTATTGGGATTTTGTCATTACGTATACAATAATAAATGAAAATGATCCTTGCGCAAAGCATTTTTTATATATTTTTGTGAAGGACATCCGGACATCCGCCCAACACTTCACTTCCGCTAGTTGCAGCAGTTGCAGTACGGGAGCAGACGCCTTCACTTTTGGGGCGTTTTGATGCAGTTTGTTGTCGTATGTCGCGTCGGTGTCGAGAAGAGCGGTGGGGCTTGGGGGTTTGTGACCGGTGTTATTCGCGAACACTGGTGTGGGGCGCTGATGCGTCTTTTTTTTATACTGCCACCACCCCGAACTTTGAAGATACACGGGCCCGTAGCAGTGTATTATGCTGAATCGCGAGCTCCTTCTCTGTTGACGTCGCTTTCCTGGTACCACTCGTGGATACTGCAAGCGTTTAAACAGTGTGCACCGTCTCGCCTACATCCCCGGTGACGTACTCGACCTGTGTAAACTTATTGCTTCCGTCATTTTAGAGTACGCAAGGCAGTTATCTCGTTGGTCTGGTTTCGGTTATAAAAGCAAGGCAAAACGCTCGTAGTTCCCGCCCTCAGTACACGTTGGACATCTTCCACACTTTGACACCGGATAACTGAATGAACGAGGATTTACATTCACTTCCGAGGTTACTCTCGCCGCTTCCTCACCGTTGAGCAGCAGGATGAGCTGGCGACAAGCCGCGGATGAAAGGCTGGAGCATCAACAGCCCAAGCGCACTCGGTGCCGATGCGGGCGACGCGGGTTTCTGTCAACCGGGAGGCCAGCACAAACCGTGACCATTCCAGCTCTTCGTCATGACACGGTGTTGCAGAGAGCAGGGTAAAATACAGCTACACGGATCACCGAAGCAAACGACTGCTATCTTAAATCTTGGCTTGTGATTGCGCCTTTGTAGTAGATCATCTTATTCGTTTTGCTGGAGAGACGCAAACGACGGGCGTAACAAAATCGCTTGCATATTCCGCATATCTCACAAAAGCATTTACCCTGTCTCCTTGCGAAAAGCGCGAAACACGGAGTCCGCACCGTCCTAAGCTTCCCGTTTTTTACCTGCTTCAGAGCAGTTTGTACCTGCTAGTAGATATGCCTACTGAAACTGAAACAGGGCAGTGCCAGAGAGAAAGAGACAAAGTTGAGAAAGCTTGCTCGCTCTCTAATTTCTCAACTCTCAAGTGATTGTACCATTATAAATGCACCAACGCGTCTTCCAAAATAAAGAAAGAGCACTACGTTCACAACATAAAAAATGGTCTCAGTACATGCATCTGTGGGCAGGTAGGGAACCTTGCCCTTATTTATTCACGCCGCATGATTGCCGCAACAAACTCGTTGCAGGACCGAATCATACTCGAGCGGTGTGCGTCGCTATGCAAACGCAGTCCAACACGAAGCATAAAAAAACGGCAGATTTAAGACAACAATCCGGAGTCCATTATTCAATTAAAACAACGTAATTTTGTTGAAAACGCCCGCTGCTTCTTACTCACGGTATGTGTCGGGATACTTCCACAGTTCGAAACGGAACGAGGGAAGATTTACTTTTAAAAACGCTCGCTGCGTCCTCCCGGACCAGCTGGACCGGATCAGCTGACGACGACGGGACTGTAACCGTTGAACCTCCACCACGCAACAAACAATTTGCGCTCCGTGTTAAAAGCGTGGTTCAAACAGACCCGGAATACAAAGCACCGCACCACACACGACGAATGTTTCAGCTCTTTTTCGCATCGCCGGGTTGCACCAAACAGAACGAGATCGCCGAAGTCAACGCCGCGCTGTCGTGAACCTTGGCTTGTGGTTGCGAACTCGTGAACCCTGTGACTCCCTTCGCTTTCAAAGCACACACGACGATTACGAATGCTACTTTCCGTCTTCCAGGAACATCACAGGGGCACTTCTCCGGTCACGTCTTCACTATGCGCTCGCAAACTCCGAAGCTCTATGCGAAGCTTCTCGCGTCCTGTCAAACCCAGAGCCGTATGCCAAACAAAAACAACGAAAGCCAACCGAATGTACGCTGCTTCCAGCGTACATCGGCGTTGCGCTTGCGCCGTGGCCAGATCGCCAGATCGCTTGCTGTTGAAGGTTGAAGCAAAAACGAAACCAACTGCAATGTCACGTGTTCACATCGAGGACACGCTTTTTATATCCATTTTAACTGTTTGGAACGAATAATTAGACCCATAACTTTATTTGTGGTGTCTAAGAAACTGTTATCAGGACCCCTAAACTAAATACAAACATGGGCGACATGAAGCGAGCCGCATTGCCATCGACCAGAAGATGGCGGCGAGCCCGCTAAGCGTGGGTTTCGCCAACGTCCTGCGACATGGCGCAATTCCTTTTGGTGCATATCTGTCTCCGAGACATGTTTCTTTCCGCGGCATTTGTCTCGACGGTCCTTTCTAAGTGTGTCCCCAAGCATTCCGGTGCTTCGATAGCCGGCAATGCCGCGGTCGTCGCCGGGGGCGGTGCGTGTTTTCGAGGTCGGCTACACGGTTATGCGTGTATGACCGAACCAAAACACGTTTTTTACAACCTCGCATGATTTCTGAACGAATTATCCGTTACTCATCGTGTAAATTTATGGTAATTTGTGTAAATGGCGTGTTTTTCACCCCAAATATTCGCCAAATACACGGGACTTGCTAACAGTGTACCACTGCACGTTGCACAGTTCGCGTATTTCTTAGCGTGTTTCTTTTGACACACTTTACCCTCTCCCTTTTGGTTGTTTATTTTTGAACGTAGATGCGACAGCTTGTGTGGCGCTGAAAACACCACTGGCACTTCAAAATGAGCCGCCACTTTTGTTAGATTGTGAGATAGATGGTGAATAGAAGCAATCACCGCCGGTCTTGTTGATTGTCTGGAAGGAATATGATCGTCATCTTTTCTCTTCATCTTGGAAACAAGGTTATCCGCTACTTGCTCCAAGAAGCGATCGGGGTACCCTTTGCGTTTTAGACGATTCACCTGCGTGAGGAAGCTTTCATCCGCGACATGGTGGCATGATTTTGCCAGCCAGGCTCTTATTACAGTCGAATTAGTCTCGTGAAAACCTGCCCATGTTGCGAATAGAGCTTAGAGCATTAAACCGTGAAACGTGAAAACAACAAAAACAGAAACCGCGCAGAGGTTTATATCTTGTGGACGCTAGCTATCTCGCTAACAGACAAACAAACGCCAGCATAAAAACACTCTACACATTTGGCGCGTGCACACTCCGCATGCGTTCTACACACTTTAAAGCGCTATCATGACCTTCCTGCCAAGAAGGAAGAGATCGATAAGGCCTTGATAAGCGACCGTCGAGTGACGCAACCGTGGGGCCGATACAGGGGCCGAGCGCATTGTGCTCACGGTATCGCAGAGAACGGTCGCCAACACGGGCGCTTGCACAAGGCGGAATTCCAGCTGCATGTCGGCTCTCGAATCGTTCACCCGGGGTGAGTGTAATCGGTTACCATACTGTCGTGAGGAGTGTTGTTCTCGTTACCTTAAACAACTAAATAGCTTTACTCGTTAGATCGTCGAAAAGTCAACAAATATCGCTAACTGAAATGCCTTACCTGCCGGCAAGGGTAACGATATACCGTTCCCGACACTTTCAAACTAACGAAAGTTACTTTTGCGTTAATTTTAATTTTAGCACTATTTGGCAACGATAGGCCGAGGAGAATAAATATGAAAAGAATTCGAATTCTGACCGAGTAATTTCATTCTGTGATAGTAGTTTCTAAAACTTGTCGGATATATATTTTCATTTTTGATTTTATGGAATCTGCTTTTTTTCCTCACGAATACTCTAGTGACTTTTATAACGACTTAAGAGCTAAGCAATAAACTCAATTTCAATACAACACTGGTTTGAACGAACGAGCCACAGCGCGGCGATAAATTTTCCCCTGCTCTAAACGGATGCTCTCCTGAGAGTTAATGTATTAAACATTATTTTATGGGAACGTTTAAGGCATTTAAGTAAACGCGCTCTTGTAAACGCTCAGAACAAAAATCTCGAGCTGAATCGGCGATTTTTTATATCAGCTCGATGGGAAGGCTTTTAATGTCCTGTTCACACGGCCAACATAAAGGTGCCTTTAACGTAGGTCCCTTTGCGATCGGATGGCTTTCGCTGAAGCGAAGGTACCCGTTCACCTTCAAGCGGCGACGGATTGGTGCGTTCTAGATTCTAGACTGAAGATTCTTAGCGCGAAACGCCTGCGTCTTTATGCTACAGGGGAAGTTATCTTCAGTGGAGGTGACGTCCTTTTGGTTTGAAGTACGTTAAAAGCAATCATCAGGGGAAGCTATGGCTCCCCTTCCGTGAGTAACCTCGCGACTTGTTTTGGCCACCGGGTCGGAAAGGTTCGCTTTCTCAGCGAAAGATTTTGACAAAACACCTTGGTGTATATTATTTGTTTTCCTCTTTTTGGCGAACTTTACGGAAAAAAAAAACGGCATCCTTTGTATTTAAGAAATTGGCGATCAAAAGTAACCAGTACCAAATAATCTAATTTGAAAGGCAATGCGCTCTAGTAAAAACGCAAATACGTTACTTCCTACTTATATAGAAGAAGTATCAAGTACCTTAGTACGTTACCAAATAAAGTAACGCGGTACCAGTAATGTTGTTACTTGTAATGCGTTACTTCCAACACCGGTTCGTAATTAAAATGGCCGTGAAACAACCGTCGATCGCGAGCCTTGTAAGTGCGCATTACGTAAATACATTCATTTCCACATAAATCTCGTGGAAATTTCAGGGTAGCAGGCAGCTCTTTCCTAAGAAGGTCGATAGCTCCACGTCTCTTAGCGTAACATCGGTTGCAACACCGAGGTGTCAATTCCATCTCACCACCTTTGAATTACCTGGTGTTATGCACTAAGGTTGTCAAACTGGAAAACGCGTTTTAATCAGTTGCCCTGTTCCCACACGGTGTGCAAGTTCGTCTGCTCTCTACGCACCTCGTGCGTTTGTTCCCCCCCCCCCCCCCCCGACTTCAACCAAAGACGGAGCTTGCTTGCCTGGTCATTGAGCGTTCTCCGTGCATTCTCTATATGCCGAGAGCAAGTCGTCTGCTTCTAGCACAGGGGGTGCCGGTGACGTCAGAACGACGCCAATTTCTGATGTGCTTTGATTGTAGGATGGCGGGTAGACCTCAAAGCAAGCTGCCTTGAGATTTACTCACTATCTTTCAATCAGAGCCAATCAGAGCTCGGCGTTCTGACGCCACCATAACCCCTGCAAAAGAAGCAGACGAACTTGCACACCACATTTCCCTTCGATTTGCGTGCCGCTCCCTGCGTTCCAATGCACCAAATACGCTATTTGTAACACTTGTTCTCCGTATAAATAAAAAAGAAGGTCCAGTGCGTGTGTGCGCGTGCGCGTGCGCGCGTGTGCGTGCGCGCGTGTGTGTGTGCGTGCGCGCGTGCGCGCGTGTGTGCGCGTGCGCGTGTGCGCGTGTGCGTGTGCGCGTGTGCGTGCGCGTGTGCGCGTGCGTGTGCGCGTGCGTGTGCGCGTGCGTGTGCGCGTGCGTGTGCGCGTGCGCGTGCGCGTGCGCGTGCGCGTGCGCGTGCGCGTGCGCGTGCGTGTGCGTGTGTGTGTGTTCTCTTTAATCTGAACCCTCCTTGTTATTTCGGTAACGTCCGACTTCTCCACTATCTTTCCACGTGGCATTTCGTCATTGCTTTCTCTCGAGAGTTAACCGAGGGACTTGGCTTCATATTTTTTGTGAAGATTAAGTGTCACCGTTGCGAAATCACTGCTTTTCCTCCAACTGCCCTGACCAGGAGAATTTAGGAGATGATAGGCTTTCAAAGGAGCATATCTTGTCATTCGGCGACGACATTGCACGCACGACATTATTACCCTGCCTTGAAGAGCCCAATTGTGATCGTTATCTTAGTTTTGCCTCGTGTCGAGTTGAAATATAAAAGTAATGCTCTAGCTCTTTTATTTTGCATCGCAAATCTTAATTCGCGATTTCAAAACAAAAAGACAATATAATTATAGCGTTTCTTCACTTCCTCAAATACCACCGACCGCACGACAATGCAAGGTGCATTCAAAACCCCCATTCCTACGAGGCAGGTTTGCTCAATTAAATATTATTCTGAGACGAACAAAATTTACAACCCTTGACTAGGTCTCGTTGTAACCAAACGTGCAAAAAGGTTACTTTTATATTTAAATATATTTTGATAAATATTGCATTATACTAACGCAGTTTCCAAAGCCGCCTGAAGAATAATGCTTCAGCAGCCTCTGCTGCTCGGCAGTCCTATGGGTTAAAGAGTGCTGTAATCGAGTGCAAAGATAATTCTGTATGCTCGTGCAAATTCCCCGTGATGATGGGGGTATTCCCATATCAAAGTACCGATAAATGATTTCAGGCACTTCTACGCCGTCACCCTCGATACGGCGCCCAGCAAAGCCGCACTTCAAAGGGCGACAGGTTTCGGATTCCAGCCTCAAGCGGAGTTTTTCCCGCGCATTTTCCCGTTGATGTGACGACACCGCTAAGTCCGCTTCTCGCAGTCGTATCGAAATGACGGGACACCTTGCGGGCGAATGAATCGCTTCGACTTATCTAATCGACGCTTCGCTCTTGTCCACTGAAGGAACGCTGGTTGGCCCGCTTCCGCAAAGGAACGACGAGGCCGGGTGCTCATCAGCCACGCGCGGAAGCTGGAGGTCTTCGCAGCACGCTGACCGTCGGGCCTGCGCGAGCTGCGACGGCAGCCGCAGTCCAGGATGCATGCGGGCAGCCGACGCCAGAGCCTGCCGCCGTACATCAACGGCAGCGGCTGCTGCGGCGTCGCGAACGACGCTTTCGACGGCTCCGTGGAACTTCCCGAGCGCAGACTCTCAACGGACTCGATGCCTCCGGACTACGACCACGTCGTGGTGCGGTCGCGACCCCTGGTGCAGCGGTCCCACACCATGGTCGAGTCGACGAGGCCGCAGAGGCCGCATCTTTCCAGGCAGCCCAGGACCGTGTCGTTGAGTGAGGATGCGGCCATCGAGGTCTACTGGAGACGCAGGGGCTCGCGACGGTTCAGCTTCTGCCCCCGGGGGTCCCTTCTTGAGGTCATCCAGGAACTGGGGCCTCCGGAGCACGTCCCGATCGCCCAAAAGGTGCACAAGGAGCTCGACAAGGACGCTGTCAGCGTCAGCGTCATCTCGGGCAAGCCGGACGTCATCGTCGAGGAGGAAGAGGAACCGGAACCGCATGAGTCTCGGCTGGCCATACTCACGCAGGTCTTCGTGCCTTTCCTGCTGGCCGGGCTGGGCATGGTGGCCGCAGGTGTGCTCCTCAATCAAGTGAAGGTATGTACCGCAGTCCCCCACCAGTTACGAAGAAGTCGATTTATTACGAGCAGAGTCCCCTTCGATTTGTAAAACGTTCTTGATTAGTTCGAAAACAACCATTCCTTTCGTCACTATTTATTGCGTTATGTCATGATAGCTAAAATGCATATGTGCCGAGGTCCCAGACGTTAAGTATAACAAAAAGGAGTTAGAAGTGAGCCAGTACGCTTGCAGAGTTGCTCATTTAATTTTTTCAATTGTTTCGAATACCGGCAGAAAATGGGCCGTTTCACATCGGGTAATGCATGAGGGAACATTTCAAGTTTTCACGCAAGCGCAGTCGATATTTGTTAACCAACACATAATTTGTCGGAGCTAGGCTAGTCATTGAAAACAAAAAAACTCTCGTTGTGAACAACGTGTGTATGCAATAACACTCCCTAATAAGGGCAGACAGGAATAATATTCAATACCACTTTACTAAGGTGGTGCTTGCAGTGACTTCAAGAGACCCGCCATGTGCATGATAAAGCTGAAAATGTCGCCAAATGTCCAGGTTAAGACATGTTTCACAAAACATACGCTCTGCTAGATCGGAGTATATGTGCGATGAAAACAGCTCGTGCAATCATTAGTTAAAATTTACCCCTCTGAAAACAACACTACTCCTCCCTTTGTTGATAGATATAGTTGATCAAATCTGTCATAGAAGAGGTTTCTGCCCAAGAAGTCTAGCGCTCCTGATAATATTTTTTGTGAGCGTTGTGTAGTGCTGTGTAAGATATTTGCTTTGGAAAGTGCTTTCCGTACGAGCGCGCTCGCGTGGATAATTATTCTTAATCAAAGCACTGATAAGCAATTCCAGGCGCTTCGTCGCCCTTCCTTTTGATAAGGCAACCCTGTCGCGAACGTTAAACGAATGCTCAAGCACTTTTCAAAAAAATCTGAGTTAGAAGCGGACTTCTATAGATTTTTGTTTCGTGAATTGAGTTGTCGCACTTAGCTTTGGCAGAAGGAACGCGTCGTTCACACACTTGCAACCGAGTACAACCGAGAGAGACAAGACCGGCTTTTAAGCCTCTTGCGAAGGCGGAGGACTGGATGCGCTGTTGCTGAGTAGGTTCTCGGTCGTACTCGGTTGCAAGTGTGTGAACCACGCTTCAACGCAAACCGCATTTATTTTGAAAAATGCGTGCAGTTATTGCCGCCTGGCATTCGGCGATCTCCTCTGCCGCCTGTTATCTGTATATAGTGTCGTGACGTCATTGACGGCATCCCCGAGCCAGCTCAGTGGCGTGCAAGGGTCGGCTCTGACACTTCTGATGACGTCACTTTTGCTAGTTTCTCTCTCCACCCTCTCACTACCCCACTGTCGATGCCCCTCTTATGGGTGGGTCTACGTCGAAACATCAATTGATTACGACGCTCCTACTAATAAGAAAGAAATAAAACTTAATACGCAAAATTTTTAAGGTGTCGAAATTACAACTTTTACTGTCTTTTTGAATTCAAGAACGTTTTCAGCTTCCGCTTAGAGGGCTCGATGTAGTCCGACGCAACGCGGGTGGGCGCGTACGCCCGTCATGGTTACGTCCCGTTGTCGAAGAGCCGGCACTCTCGCCTCGTCGTAGCTACGGCGTAGCCATCGCAACCGGCGGCGGCCGGAGCGCTTCGGCGGCGCCGGCGCGAAGTAGGTCTTGCTCAATTTCGCTCCAGACTAGCCCGACTAGAATGCTCCGCGCACGCACACAGTTTCGAAATAGCATTCGGAGTCCCGGCAAGGATAGCGGCGGACTTTAGAGAGGTGCATCTCTGGCGTGCCGGGACTACCGTAGCTATAGCTCCGACCACCGCTGACGGCAGCGACGTCGGTCTATACCGAGCCCTTAATAAGGCACTAACCTCCCCTCCCCCATATATTTTTTTTTTATTTTTTATCAGGCGATTCAATATGCTTCCACAAGGCTACCCAATTAATATTTTGCAACCGTGATACGTATATTTTTATTCAAGTGAAAAAGCGCAACTGCTCAAAACCGAATCCGAAACTGGACCGGGGAGGAGGACGTCATGTAGAGGGCAGTTTCCGGAAGTCACGTGGCTACCCCCGACCTTTCCTTCGTTTTTCCGGCCGCGCAAAGCAGACGAAAAACTCGCACGTCGCACAAAATACGCAAGGTGCTTCACGTTTGCGCGTTTGTCAAGCACTTGCCTATTCGTAAGACGGGCGATGTCATCAGCCAGGAGAAGGGTCAACAACTAGGCGACGTCTCCGTGCTAATCAGCTTGGTGGTCGGCCGTGTCGCGCGAAATAAAGTCTAATTATCTTAATCGGTAAACGATTTCTTTTTCGAAGCTAGACAGATTCGCCGGTACCGCGAACAAGAGTTCCGAAGAAGAGGACCCATGCCCGCCGTCCACCGCCCTCGCTTAGTGCGTTTCGTTCAGCCGTCCAGATCGCGACTCCCACGATACCACGCCAAGTTGAGAATCACGCAGAGCGTGCACAGGTTGCTTCCGGTTCTCTGTGTAACTTTTCTTCTTTTTTTTTTTTAAATCAGCATATTTGCAGCTTTTTAAAAACCACAAAAAAAATGGGTACCATATTTTTTTTTATTGAGTGTTTGTTCTTGGTGACCCACGACTTTGATTATCTTTGGTGTGTTTGTATAAACGATAGAAAACGGCACGTGACCACGGAGAAGGTATGAGGGCGATTCAAACCGACCAGCTGTCGATCGGTGGCTTTCGGAAGAAAAGATAACGAATTTCGGGCCGCAAATTGTGTTCTTGGTAGTTTGGCTCTCATATGTCCCGTACAAATAAAAACCTCGGCGAGTATAAATGCCCTGTCAGTGTCCCTTTAACGTTGCGCATAACGTGTGACATACACTTTAACTATCACAGCCGTGTCACCACGCAAGGATCTATGGCCCTCCCTAAGTTGTCCTCACATTTCATCGGTTTTCTATAGTCTGTCCTGTAATATTTATGCAACCTAGGAAGTTTGTAAGCCTACGGTCGTGGCCATCCAAAATGTTTGAAATGTTCATCTGTAACGGAAAGGTAACATATACGTGTTAATCGCGCTATTTTTTTTAAACTTTAATTTGATTGTGTTATTAACATACAGGGAATAAGGTTTTTTTTGGTTAGGAGAAAATTGGGTTATGAATTTAACAACATTCATTGTCGGGATTTTCTGGGATTAACCCCGTGTGGTAAGGAGATGGTTAAACTCCTGAAGAAAAAAAATTAAAAAGTTTTTAAGAGCCTGATTTTCAATTGCAGTGGATTAGTTGCACAAAATACCTTTCAAATTTTCCACACACCTTTTTAATCTACGGTTGCATGTTTTTGCATTTTCAGATGCGGAGCGGCTGTTTTACAAAACGCCAATAAAACTTCGCGTTTAATTCTACTCATTGCACAGACAAAAGATTGTTAAATAGTTACCCACAATGGGTACATTTTTTGAAATACACAACATATAGGATAATTAAGTTTCTTATTGGTTTCGCATATCGAAACTTCTCATTTATAGAAAAATAAACATGATTGCAATTACAAACGTACTTGGCACCATCCAAAACCACCAGATCACTGCGTTTTCGAAATATTTAGATAGAGCGATTTTTCCTTCTCGTCCCCGGAAACGCATTAAAATTCCGTTGCTTTGTCTCTTTTGTTTTCTTTTTGTTTTGTTTTTCCTGCCAGCTTGGCGCTTTGTACCCTTACCGATATATTTTATGGACTACAAAGCTTTCCAGGTCCAAGTATTCCTCAAATTTACAGATTTACTTACCTTAGATTACACCCTCCATTATTATAATTAGAACCACGCCCTTATTTTTAACAATAAGAAGTTTTTTTACGCAAACAAAATGAACTCTTGAGTACCTTAGATCTCCTTTCAAGGTGACTATACTTCCTGTCACTTTAAGTTCAGATGCACCCGACGCAACGAACTGATGGGAAAAATCGGATGGCGCGAAACGCGCACCATCACAGTGTCCGCCATGTTTCTGCACGTGTTCTATCGTCCCTGAAGCAACCAGTTAAGGCTTAGCAACTTCTGCTTTTCACGATCCTTGATTAACCCCATTACTGCATAGCGTCGGCTGCTTTTGTGCGCTGGCTGAAACGAAGTATAATACGGAATCAACATGCTTTCTGGGTGATGCCAAGTTTCCCTAGACAAATTTTGCCCAACGTTAAGCGAAACACTTGGTTTTACATTTAGGCCTCAAACAGGTCACTTCTAGGATATCCCAAAATAGTTCGTCCATAGTTGAACATCTGGAAATAGTCTTATAGCGTAAGTCGACTCCAGGGAAACAACGAGTGGTTTCCGAAAGCTGCAATATACAACATGGCTTTTCTAGTCTGCATTTACTCTCCTGTAAAACATGACTGCAACACTTAAAGGAACCTATTGCTAAGGAACTCAAATTTATAATTGCATCATGCCGACAGCATAACTATGCTGGGTGGCGCCGACATTTCACTTCGTCTTAGAGAAAATCGGAAGCAAACCAGATTTTTGACCGGGAATTCAAAATTCTTAGAACTTTTACGTCTCCAGTGGTGGACACTGTCCCGTTTGGCACTCAGGAATATTTCTTAGTGCTTGGAAGCTTACTGCGTGCTGATATCGCTTTTAGCCTCTTTTTTTTTTTAAACAATTGGGCATATCTGGTCTTTCTTTTTTTGTATAATTGAGATATACATTTGTCGGGAAATACTTTTGCAATATGTTTGCATTCGGAAAATTCTTCTTTATTTAGGAACTGGCTTAATTTGACAGTATCTTACCATACTATTCTTACACACATAAATTTTAGAAATGAGTGTTGCCCACCAATAAGATGATGGTTGTGGGCGTCTCTTCTAGAGGCTAACTCAGAAGATTGCTTTCCTTGATTGGTTCTCTTCAGGATTGGAGAGTGTTCCTGGAGGTTCCGGAGCTGATGGTGATGGTGCCTCCGCTGCTGGGACTCAAGGGCAACCTGGAGATGACCCTCGCCTGCCGGATGTCCACACAGGCGCGCAGGTCTTTCTCGTGCCGTTAAAAAGGGCCATTCGCGCCGTAATCCGCTGGTGTTAAAGGGGCCCTGCAATCATATTTAAGCGTCTACCTTTTTTTGCGGCTTCCACGTCTCTTGGGGTTCGGGCAAGCCAGCGGGCACGGAGAGAGTAACTAAATATCAGTGCGTCATATTTTAACCGGACGGCGCGGAAACCTCCACCGACGAGGGCGACCCGCGTTGCCGAAAGCGCGCAATATGTGACGTCTTTGGTCCTGGGCTTACTACTGGTCAGAACCGCTCAAAGCTTTTTTTTTTAGTCGAAATACAAAATATAAGTGTCGCGAACCGTTTCAATTATGTATGAAAGTAGGTTTTGTTCGGTATTTTAGATCAGAAAAGAAACAAATGCAGTTCATAAAGTACGGAAACAAGAAAAGGCTCGTCGACAAACCCGCCACCAAGCGGCAGAAAAAACGGCGCATACTAGAAAAAGCTAGTGGGATAAGGCTCCGACGAACAGCGAGCGTAGAAAGGTCCCGGATTAACGCGGCGGCGCTGCGGTCGTATACCGGCTCGAGGATCCGACCAGTTCCGAGCGTTCCGAAGGCTTTCGGCGCGGGCTTGGCTGGCGATTTGGCCATTTGGTGATATGGCAGCGCGAATTGGCTCCCGTTCTGAACTGATCTTTACACCGTGTTTGCTGTCGTTTGTGGCCAATGATGTGTTATGCCAAATTAGTCCTTAGTCACGCAGCAAATGCAATGCGAGACGCCCTGGCAGCCCGCTTCATACAGCCTATCCAACACGTGCTTTAGTGGCGCCCTCTCGAGCCGTCGACACGGAGTGCGGCAACCGTGAGCGCTCGATGAGCTCACTACTCCTCCTCTAGTTCACGGCCACTCAAGCCAGGACCTACGACGTCATGTGGGAGGTTATTTTTTGCTTGTTTTTGCAATTGTGATTTGTCTAACTTTTAAAATAAAGCGAAATTTGAGAACAGAAAAGTTTCTTTAAGTTACTACGTTCAGTGCGCTCAGGTTCGGCACAGATTAAAAACCAGTCAAAAAGTTGTTGCAGGGCCCCTTTAAGGCGCATTCCTTCCAGAAGGCGCTGCAAACTGCGATTCATTTAAGGGTTGGATGTTCCGGGACTTACCCGAGTACTGCCATTTTATTTTTAGCCTGACGTGGGCGCTCCTACTAAATGTAGGTAGTACGTGCAATTTCTTTATTCATGGTATGTACATTCCACGTCCAAACGCGTTCTCTTATTTGCCCGCCGTGGCTGCCGACGGCGCGCTGCCGGCAACCTACCGCGTTGTAGTCCACACTTAGTGATTTTCAACTTAAACGGATCCCACTATGCATTAGCTTGGGAGTACTTGTATACCTGGAGAATTATTCCAGGGTTTACTCTTTGTCAGCGCCTTTTGAACGTGAATGAATTTACGTTATCTGCAGAGAGATGTAACCTAACAGAATGATCTAACGTGATGAACGGATGTGACCTCATGTGTGAAGATTGTTGTCATTTTTATCAAAAACGGGGCGTTTCTTCCTAGAAAAGATGTGTATACCCTGTTTTTAATTTAAAGTTCGGGGGCTGAAGCAGGGAGGCTATTACCCTCCCTCCCCCCATAAATTCGCTCTTGATCGGTAATAAGCTGTGCAGCACGTCACTTCTTACATTTCCTTCATCAGTGCCTACCCAGTGAACACCGACTTCCTTCGCACGCATATTATATCCATCATTGCTCATTCAGGCAATGCGCCCTTGTGCTTCGCGTTGCGCGACGAACTGTCGTACTTGACAAGTCACATTCTAATCGAGATTTTTCCTCGCATGTCGCAGTCTCAGGAAAGACTCCGGTGTAGCACGCACACGCGCATCCTTCCGCACCTGGGCTAAGTTCTTTGAAGATACCCACGAGGATTTTCCTCAAACTGTTTCGACAGCTTGCGTGTTGAATGGCCATCACCTACGAGCAGTCCCTCCCAAGCAAAGCTTAAACGATGCTCCGCATAATAGAATCTGCCAGTGTTTGCATGCGAATACATCTTTTTGCGTCTTTAACACTAGCTAGCTGAAATCTCCGACATCAATGAATAATCATTCTCTACAGGTCATTGCGTTTGCACGATAACATAAAAGATTTGAACACGCGACGGAGTTGCACAATTATTAAATTCCGTGAAATCCCAAACTGCGGGTTTTACGACTGAGAAACAAAGAATTTGTACTTCAAATTTTCCTAATACTAAATTTTTCTAGATTCTAGCGCTGATATATTATGATTTTAATCCGCCTGGCCTACTGAAATTGTCTTGTCTATTTACAATGATCGATACCTTTAGGAAAACGTTGGGCTCGCTTTCTTCACAAACGTTTAAGAGTCTCTTTAGTTTAATAATTGGCAGAATGCTGATGTTAAACGTGGGTAAGTAAAGTTCGTCACATGCTCGCATTGAGTGTCGCGTTCTCGTTAGTGTACTACTGTTGTCAGTAGGTGTTCATTCTCCTCCTCCTCCTGTAGTTCCTTTTTACCCGTCATATTCGTCCCGTGCTTTTTAAACAGTATATATCACTAAAGTTATCTCAGAATAAAAAAAAAAAGAAGCTGAGCACCCGTGAATATTTAAGAACTTTGTACTCGTACGTGTAAATGTAAAGTGTGTGGTATTTAGCTTGGAAAAAGCATAAACTATTCTCCATTGTACCACCCTCAAAACTATCCTGTAGCAGAACCTCACCTACCCTTTATTGCTAGGAACAAACGCCAGCAATTGTCAGCAATTATCAAACGATGCCAATTATGAAACCATATCAATTTTCGGCGAGTTGAAATATGTCCCGTTGAGTTTTGGAATTCACTTTGGGGCTCGCCAGATACAACATATTATCGAGGTTATATTCTTTTTATTGTTGACCATTTCTGGTAGTTACTCCAGATAGGCAAATATTAAAAATGGCGAGGAAAAGAGCGTGGTCAATTAGGATCCATTGGCCATAGGTAAATCATTGTCCTTTACGAAATGGGTTTAACATATAAGCTGTAGCTATTAGCTGCCTGAACGGAGACCTTTATATAGATTCCACACAACCCCCTGCTTTTGATATTGTCTGACTGTGCGTGCACTCTCAACGCTCATGCAAAGCTCGATGAGCTTTTAAGGAAGAAAGCTCGAACGGAGTATATTTTTTTTCAATTAAAGCTTATAAAATGAGTTCGCAAACGATCTACGTCTCGTTTCAATTACAAGCGTATTCGCCTTGTGAGAAATATAAATAATAAATCACAGATAAACCCTCTGACTCACATCTGCGTCCAAAGAACAGCAACATCGGATTGGTACGAACTGGAGCAAACCCACGATATGTTTAAAGCTCGCATTTTAAACACGGCATGTGCATCAAAAGCTCATAAAAAATAAACTCGCCATAAAAGTTACCGATGCTCCGCTAGGAGCGCGTGGCTGAGACGGCAGATGGTGTGGCACTGCTCGCACTTTGGGAATTTTCATAATTCTCTATGAGAAGGGGAGACACTTAGTCAGTGCCGTCCATTCAGTTTGGATGATTTATCAAGTTTTGCACTTTTTTGGAACGGTATAAAACTGCCCCCAACAAACACTGTCCAGACGTAAAGGCCCTGCTGCTGGAGTTTCTACATCACTTATAAGCGGCCAGCCCAGTGCACAGATTGCATACGATTGCTCTGTCAGCTGTAGACTATAGCTCGTGTTAATTCGGTTAAAATACTATTCCCAGTCGAATGCTGGAGCCGCATTCATGCCCAATCTCTGCCCCTGATGGCCGCTGGTAGTTAAGAGAATACCAAGCACTGTGGCTTAGATATCTAGAAAGTGTTGACATCACACGCGCGCCCTCGCCAGCCAGAGAATCGGCCAGGCGCATAAAGTAGATTTTGGATGTTATGTAGACCGTACACAAATGCGCAAGTATCAGTGCCTTGGATGCCTTTATGGTCTGGTTACATTCAAAGAGGCTATCCGGGCTGCCTAAAACAGTTACCATGGTGAAAGTAGGTCCCTCCCAAACATTTACATATTTCTTAAAAATATAATGGAGCTTTGTTACTAATTACTGAGTCTAAACGTAACTATGTGGCTAAGTTCGAAGCTCTTTAGTGACGTTACACAGCAACGCGTGACTTCAACTCAAATGTATCCTTTTAGTTTTGCTAACACGTTGACGACCAAGCCGGTGTTTAGGTTTCAGGATCGTTTCTCCTGATGTGCGTTTCACTGAAGCAGCAGCTGCCTTTTGGAGTTTACGTCCGTAATGTATTCTTGCTCTTTTGAACACCTTTTTGGCGGCTCTGAGCACATGCTCTTCTTACATGCTCGATAAACCCTTCGTTGGGCAAATGGGAAGCAGATTCTCCCTTCCACACTAGACTATATGTATCCCTACCAAGAAAACCCAGGTTCACGCCATCCCTGCGTTAATGGGATTCTTAGTTTGAGGTTGGTTCATTTTAGCTTTGTGTTACATTATGTAAAAATTAGAACATAAAAAGTTGTTTTTTTTTAGTGGTCTTAACGAGATTAGGCAAGCGTAATTTTCTAGGTTGTGAGTTCGCATTATATAAGTATGTGCTACTCCAAGGAACTTCTGTGATTTCAGTTATGCACTTGTTTCTCGAGCGTACTTCAATACGAGCATAACTGATCTGTTGTGCTTTCCGCGTTTTTCAACAGGCGAACCTTGGGCGCATGGAGACGCGATCGGCTCAGCTGAGCATCGCCAGCGGAAATTTGTCGCTGATTCAGGTGAGTCGCATCTCTAATACCTATTTTCTTCCTTTCACTTGACCGCTCCCAAGGACCGCTTTACGAGTGCGGTGCCAATTGAATGTGGAGTAGCGCTCGCAGGAATTTTCCGAGCTTTATGCAAGTGTCAACGGGTGTTGAGTTACTAATTTGTTTGTGAAAAAAGAGAGTGATTGCGTTGCAGCGCAAATAAGAAAAGAGAGGAGAAAAGAAGGGCTGCACACACACCAGTTGCGTAAATCGCCGGCCGACGGATCCCCAGTTGACGGGTTCGAATAACAACCAAGGTACCCGATATCTGGTACCTTGGTTGCACAGGTTGCGCCCTTTAACCGAGGTGCAGGTTGCTCGTGAAAATATACCCAGGAGGTTGAAGTCAATCATCCCTACACCGCTGAGACATGCCAGGCGCCCATCGTTGACTTTACACGTCTAACTTCTAGATTTATCTTACACACTCGTTGCTCTATTGTGCAAAAAGAAATCTATATATCTGATAAATGAGTCACACCAGTTTATAGCTGTTAAAAAAAGCAAGTATAGCGCACAAAGTAAAAAAAACAATAGTCTCGGTTGCCTTGCAACGTTAATTACTCAAAAGGATGCACTCTGAGGAAGGAGACCCACCAGCCAGGAGAGAGACGGGAGATCTGAGACTGCCGACCAAATATGGTGACCCTTAAAAAGTGACCTATCGGAGAAACCTACACGAATGTGCTGATTTTGGTTCTTAAATTGACACTACTATATTTGATATTCTGAAAATTATACAAAAATACAGAACCCTATTTCATAGACCTCCAGTTGTACAGATTTTCAGGATACGCTGTAGTTCTGAAAGTTGGTTTTTCCGAGATGATGCGAGGGGAATACGGCGCTTTGCAAATGCATCTGTGTCAGATAGCCTCTACCTCAGTTTGCAACCTGCGAACTATATTTTTGTTTTGTGTAACGACACGCATGATACGTGAATGTTCAGATGATACCATCTTGGTCATTCAGGGCACTATCTCCCCCGACACAGTGTCAGGCAACAGTGGCCGGTCTGGTGGCCGCACTGCTTGCCATCGCCAAATCCTTTGTGTCGAATGGAAGCATGGTTCCGGCTAACGTGCTCACGCTTGCAGCCGCCGCTGTGCTAACGGCAGCAATCGCCAGCATTGTCCTAGGTAAGCGAAACCACAAGGGCTCTCAACTGTCCGTAACATTGGATCGTGACGAGCAACGCCGTACGGCGCTGCTCTAGTGCACGACGACTGGCTTCCTCATCGGAACTATCGGATTCGTTGACTATTGATATGCGAGACATCATATCAATTTAGCGATAAATATACATCTTTACCGGCGAAACTTTTATTGCAGGCCCCCAAAACTGGTTAGAAATAGCAAGTTTTTTTGTTTGTTTTTTTAGATTGGCAAGTTTTACCATCGGGATTGAAAAACGCATTACACGTGCCGTCCTTATTTTCAGTCATAACATTTTGTGTACACGCAGTCACTGCCAACTCAGGGGTCTTTCTGATGATTCCATTAGCTTGAAAAAAAAATCGCTGCGTTTCTATTGTCTATTATTAATTTATTTTTCCTAAAATATTATGCACCTGTTCTTGCTCTATAGTGCAGCAGCGCGCAGTAGCCCCGCTAAGCCCGTATGCTTTTGAGGAACCCGTGTTCCCTTGGCTTAGCTCAACAACAGCTGCGCTGAAAGTCTCAATGTGAGAGCCGTGACGTCCGTGAAAGACGCGTTTCTTCCGCGGTGGGTGCAGCGAGCGTGATGGTGCTGGTGGTGGTGGTGTGCCGGAGGTTCCGCCTCAACCCAGACAACGTTGCGACACCCGTGGCTGCGTCGCTTGGAGACATCACTACTCTGGCGCTGCTTGCCGGTCTGGCAACGCTGCTTCATGTCGTCCTGGGTGAGCGAGTGCGCTGACAAGCGGTACTTTTTTTTATGGAAAACATAAATTTCCGCTCGAATGACTAGCAGAAGTTTCGTGAAGCGGACAAACACCAGGCCAGTACCATGGTCTACATAAACTACTCACTGACTTAGCAATTTCGATAGTGTTTGCCCTGGTAAGATGTTGTTACGAAAAGTGGCGCTGATTCATATGTTAGTAAAATAAATTAAAACACATTATAAATATTAAAAGTTAAAAATTAATTTTGGAAAGCTTATGAGCACCTTTGACGTTGCGTCTCAATTCTCAAATAATGTAACCTTTAAGTCTCAAACGTAGATGGCGCTTTAAATTTACCGTATTATTAACGGGCCTGTGGGGTATTGTTGGAATAAGACACCTCCAGTGACATTCTCCACCGCAGCCTCTTCGAATTCACCATCCGTTACGTTCTCGCAGCGATCTGGTTCGTTCGCTCTTAACGTCGGCAGCGCGCCTACACCTCAACTTGATGCTAGAAAAATATTTCCCATAGCGTGAAGAGAGGGTTCTAAACCAGGCAATCTAAAGATTCTGTCCGTATACACACATGAGGGTTCACCAAGTGCAGCTATGCTCCATTCACCTCTTGTCTGACAGTGCAGTGGGAGCTATTCTCTTGCCGGACCAAGCAGCCGCTTCCTCTTCGCCACACCGCCCTGCGCGTGTGAGTGTGGGCGGGGCCGTGATCACGGGGCCAAAGGTTGAGGTAGCGACTGCTTAAAGGAGCTCGCAGCTTCCACTGCATTGTCAGATTAGGGGTAAACGGAATATATAGACTAATCAAAAGCTATTTACATCCTGTCTTCATGACCGGTCACTCTTAGGGAATCTGCAACGTTTACTTTACCGCGAGGCACTCGAGTAAGCTAAGCGCTGCCGCCTTGACCATGACGACGCTCAAGATATGTTTAAACTTAAAACCATAATTCTTTTGCTGTGACACTTGGCAAAGGCAAACATCATGCTAAGTGTCATAGAGCAGACTGTATTTTCAGGCTATTTTTTTTAGTCTCCAATCGCCGAGCTCACTCGGAAGATTTAACCATTGGCTCTCCCGGGTGTTTTGCAGGAAGTCAATACTCCAGATTTCCTAGAGTGTACGGCAGCATCAACTGGGGGATCGAGGCCGATCCCGGCGCCTAGCGTTCCTCCACTAGGTGGCTAAGCCGTAGTGCTGGACTTCCTACAACACGAGAGCTGAATCAGCATTCGGTTAAAACTCGTGTTTCCAATTACTGAGCACGAGCCTCAACCCAACGCTAAGGCAGGACTCGTGTCCACTATCAGCCCCACGTTGAATTTGAGTTGGTAATGTAGAAGGTCCATCACATAGGTGTTGGCACAGGCCCTAGTGGCTAGTGTTCGTTGAGTGCGCGCTGCTTGTGTAATACGCATTATCCCAACATATTGCGGGTTAGATCCGGTCGTCTCATGTCCAAAGCCCCGAACAACCGCACCTGACCACGCGAGTCACTTGGCCTGGTGTTAAATAGCTGTGGAAGCAATCTTTTCCCAGTAGCTTCATTCGATAAGGTGAGGGTGATCTCGTTCTTTCTGAATTGCCACCCGAAAAAAAGCCCTTTCAAGTACGTTGTCGTTAGCTGCCACGTGTAGCTGCATGACGTTGTAAATAAAAGTAGCGATACTAGCATCGGAACGAAAGTTAAATCACTGTGCTGGTAAATGATCTGATTTCTTACACAACCAGTACAAAATCAATAAGAATGACATATCTCCTTGCGGACATCTTAAGTTCTAGCATCGTGTTATTTCATTGTTTATCACGCCTACATACCACTCCTGGTGTCAGTCGGTCTTGACAGTATGTTTGACAGTCCAAATCTTGTCACCATATCTGGAACTATTGTATAGATTTTTGAGGAAACACTTCTCTCCGCCACATACCCAACCTCCAATACGGCTCTATCCTTATTATACACACCTCCATAACAAATACGGTCGTGAATTAGTAATGGCAATCGATCTTTCATGGGTTCCACTGGTGTACAGGGCATTCGGTGACTTCTGGCCGCCACTACAGGGTACACAAATCATTTCCGTTGTCCTATATTTACCTTAATTCTGATTGGCTGCGCGATGACTCCTTCTTTAGTAGCGGGAAATTGCCAATACATGAACTTTACGCTGTAGAAATTCCCAATGTAGTGCTTTGGGGTGCCCGATACATACCGTCAAATACAGAAGTTCCTAAGAAACGTTTATTATTATTATTATTCCGTAACAAGGGACGCCGCCGATCTTGAGATATTGCAGGACGGCGGCATTTGGCTGAAGGTTCCATGAATTCCGGGTTTCTTGGTGAACAAATTCTTCCTCCAGACGTTCCATTCCCTTAGAGAAACCGACATAGAAAAAAATATATAGGTCGCGGTTGTTTCCGTTGCGTGGTGGCTCTAGATTCAAAGCCATGGCCGCAATTGATAATCATCCTCGTCATCACTCTTGTTTGTGGCTAGCTTCCCGGACAGTAAAGATTCGCTCGTTTGGCAGGATTGGTGGACGAGTGGGCTAGCACACACTAACTAGGAGCACGTGGAGAGAAAGCTCGCGCTGCAGAATTAAGAGATCCTTAAAGCCCCTTAATGTTTTAATAGTTGCGCAAGGTGTGCCGACGCAAGGGGCACGTGCTACGTGCAGCCCTTGGGAAGATCATGGCGGCACACGCAGCACTGAGCTAGACTTCAGACCCCATGTTCTTCCCAGAAGTGGCACTCGGAATGGCGCCACTTTTCCCGGCCTTTTCGATCTGGATGAGAATCGTACCGCTTTGCGGTCTTGTATCACTACTGCGTGATGTGCGTTAAAGACCCCAGGTTAGAAGTCGTACTGCACTGGATAAATTCTAATCAATAGTGGGCAACAATGTGTCCATGTTCTGGCAGACTAAGCTCCTGCTCTATAAACAACTAATGACTTTTTTTTTCTTTTGCGCTTGTTTGCACGATTTATGGGCGTTGCTTCTCACCACAATATCTTACTTTTCAAGATAGTGGCTGGCTAAAATATAAGTGTTCATTTCTAAAAAAGCGGGAAAGATGAAGAATGAGCGCACACGTGATTGTTTCCAGAGGGAATATGTCCTGTCATATTAATAAAAAATAGACGTGGTCTTTCAATAACGCCCTTCAATACAGTTCCTGGTAAAAAATGCAGTTTTCGTTTAGGTCAGCGTCGCTTGTCTTTCGCAGATTTTCAGTAATAGCTTTCACAAAATTTCCTAGACGACGATCCTCGGCAGTCGTCCTTCATGAGCCCTGAAGAGTAAAAACTTAAAGGGAAACTGAAGCGGTTCTGTATTTGAGAAAAAACACTTCAATGCCCTTCATTCTAGCTCCAGGATCAGGAATATCGAGATTACTTTTAAATTTGGTGCACGGAGGCTTCAGAAATTAATTTTTAAAGTACCGCCGAAGCCCCTCCTCCCCGGGGCGTGACGTCACACTAGGAGTTTTCGGAATCTCTGCTCTCGCGCATCTTCATCGCCTGTCAAAGCTATGCACGCGCACTCTTGCTATTTTCAAAAAAGGTCAGAAAGGGACGTCACGACAGCCGTGAGTGCGGAAAAATATACCTGGCAAAGCTTGCCATTGCACGCGCTACCCACACGAGCGACACGCGCTTGGCGGTCTAAAGATCCTAGTATGACGTCACGACTGGTGGGAGGTTTTTTGCGGTTTCTCGCTTTTAGTTGCATCTTCAGGGAAAACGAATGTGATATTCAAATTCACGGGATAAAAATGCGTCAGAATTCACCTCTAACTCGTTTTTTTCAAGAAGTGTTTCAGCTTCTCTTTAAGTTTCACATGGTATGAGTAGTATATTCTGCTCGATAGGTTTTGCGTCATATATAACTTCTAATTTTGCCAGCAAAATAACCTGGGGCCAGGAAGCTCAGTATAGCCTTGTCTAATGTTGCTTTCTGTTTATTGTGGCAGGGAACCACCAGTGGGTTTCCGGCGCCGCCTTGGCCCTGGTCGTAGCCCTGGCACCCCTGTGGGCCCTGTTGGCACACCGGAACCCCTACACTCGGGAGGTGCTCTCTCAGGGCTGGGTGCCCATCCTCCTGGCGATCGTCATTTCCAGGTATGTACGCACCCCGCTTCTCTTTCAGCATATTCGCATTATGTTGTAGGAATGAAAACAAGGAAACATCTTTCTCTGCGATTCTTCTAATGGTTCCGGCAGTAGCGAAAAACTCGTAGATTTAGAGAAGAGGCTGGACACGGGGGTCAAAACCCCTCGCTTCTACACGGGAGATAAGGGGAGAGCGCAGTTTCAGGAATGCTGACATCTGTGTTACCACCTGTCTTCGCAGTTCAAAGATGTGGTAATAGGTATCTAATGAGCCGTATATTTTTTTTTACTATGGACAATGAGCAAGCCGGATACAGATGTTGCAATTTCGCCTGCTATTTCTCGGTTGCGACGGAGTGCATCGCAGTTTACATCCTGCTTATTTTGCAGTACAAGCTACGTTGCCACTGATATATAGCATTCAAAAATGCGCTTTGTGAATCGGGCAGTAGAGCGTATGCCGCACCAAAATATTCAATGCCCCAGTTTCTTGATTGTTATATAACACAGAACTTGAACTAGCAGTGGGAGACAGGACTGAGCACCACTCAATATATCTCGAATATAATCTTTTTTAAGTTTTATCATTCATAGCTTTTAGAAAAACACAGAAATTTAAAAACATATTGTTTTTAAAGGGCATAAATTGGGCACGAATTTTTAAATTCATTTTCCACGAAGTAAAAAGTATATTTTAATATTTACGCCGTTAGACATAATTTATGTGGAGGACAGAGCCCGCCCTAGGCTCCGCCCATTACTACTGAATTGGCTTTGCTGCAGAGGCGTAGGCTTTCCATTTTCCCGGAGGGGGCAGGCTAAGAAGCCTGCCCCCTCCTTTTCGCCAGAACTGGAGATTGAAGCTAACGACAGCACGCTGGGATTCCATTTCCCATGCATTTTGTCAATAAACGAAGCGTCGGCGTTATTTTGTTTACCTGCCACTACTAGAGGCTCGTTACATGGCACGTAAACAGCGTGTCGGTAAGGATCATGGCCCTGGCCGGGGGCGGGGGGCAGAACCCCCTCCGCCCCCTGGATCTCACCAGGGGAAGCACGAGCCCTAATGCCGCCCCCCCCCCCCCCCCCCCCCCCGAAGTCTACGCCTATGCTTGGCTGCTCAACCGAAGGTGCTCGGAAGCCTAGCGTCTCCCTTTCCCGACATTCGGTGCGTCTAGTCCGTCATCTGACAATACTGCCCTGCGTCCATACACGCAGCAGCCTCCGGCATCGTCTGCTATTCCATCACTGTCTATCGTCGTCTGCAATGTCCAGATGCGTAATTGAAATCTGCGCGTCGGCGTCCGTTTTCGGCTTCGTCCGATATTCCGCCCTCGTGTGAAAACTTCTCCAATGCTCAGAAAATGCGATCATGAAAGCGGCGTTCGAGCGTTGCATCATGCACGAGCCGCGTTCCAATAAAAGCGTCTGCTAGCGTCTGTCGATGTGCAAGGTGGTGAGCGTCACGACGCACATTTAGAACGTCACCTAAAATTATTTTCTTCGGCAGGCCAGGTGCAGCGCAAAACTTAAAAGCTACTTGCCTTCCAAAGCGAAATGATGGAAACAAACCTGGATGCACCTGATGTGAACCGAACGTCCTATTGCCTTTAGCCAAATGGCTCGCAATGCTTTCCTGGCAGGTATCTTCTCGACATTGAAGCCAAAGTCGCAAGCACGACGGTTGCACACTCCGAGAGGAGCGGGGCCGCTTTTAAGAGAATCAACATCTTCATTCAGTATCAACACGCAAAGACTAACAAATCAAGGCAGATCAAGCAAAATAGAGTTGACGTGGGACGCTAGGATTAGGCCAGTCCCACTACGAGAACAAGCAGTCGCACAGCGGTTCCGAAGGCGCGCGCTTGCAACAATTGTTTGTTGCGAACTACGTCGGTTGAGGAGATCTTCGAAACACCTTAGAGAACACAAAACGACTTGCACTTATAAAAATAGAGGAACTCGACAAGCTGCTCTCGTTGAGTACTCCGCAGGCGCGGGCGGCCATGTTTGTTATCGTTTCACACCAATGCGGAAAAGACGATCTTGGGATACTTTTGAAGATATTAATGACTCTATTTATAATATTTGTTTCTCAAATATAAAAATATTGTCGATACAAAAACTATTACGGCACTGAGAAACGATTTTACAAGGAACAATACACGCGTCAATCATCCCTACAATCAGTGAGAGCCAAGAAATGGAACGCAGTTATCTACGTTCCTAGGAGGGGCCTAGGGCAGGCTGCCTCCACCTAAATTGCTACTAACCGCGTAAATATAGCTAAAAATCTTTTTTGCGTGTGAATAAATTTTTAGAAGAAATTATATATCCCATTTATGCCCTTCAAGAAAAATTAATTTCCCTTTTTCCTGAATGCAGTCAGTATGTCGTGGGGCAAACTGAATTTTTCACTGCGTCGTTTTAACTTATGCGTTTCTTGGTATGCGTTTCTTTTGCGGCCCTTGGCAGTTACACCTTCTTGCAGAGAGTAACGGTTCAAATGTTTAGATACTTATACTTGCGTTAGTAATGGCAGTACATGAGAAGTTACACTTTTACGTTAGATTCGCAAGCTGCTTGGCTCGCGGGGGAGATTAACAATGATCGGGAGACGTATAATGTTGTGAATGCCAGATGACTTAGGTCGCGGCTGACTTTACTTAAACCGCTTAGGACACAAACGAAAGACTTGCCATTATTATAATGCAATTCGATGCGAAGATGCAAGCGAGCCGGACAAGAATGACGAAAAATAATTTTCGTTATTTTTATTTTCATCATTCGTGTCCAGCTCGCTCGCACCCTTTGCATTTAATTACATCATAATCATAACCTTAAAATTAGCGCTTTCACCCTTGTTGGTCTTAGACTGGTGGTAGCTGATAAAACCTGTTTGCTCTACTGACGTCAAACCCCTGGTTAGCTCAGTTGGTAAAGCGCTACACTGGAAATGGAGAAGTCCCCGGACCAGGTGGGCGGGTTTTTTTCGGTCGCGCACCAGTCACCTCGCTGTGTTTGGAGATTTGTGTTTGTCCTGTTTCCTTCTTGTTCTCCTTCTCCAGGGATTATTTTCGTCGAGGCATACTATGTCGTTTGTTCTATTACAATGAATGTTTAATGTAAATATAAATTCCGACCCCGTCAGCGATTTACTTCTCGTAGTCACTACAAAATATTACCAAAGCCTTGACCTGCTCAGCAGCGCGACTGATTGGTAATTTAGAAGCCAATCGGATGTCACAATGAACCAACCTGCGCATTCATCGCGATTGTGAAGCGGGTTGTTTGACTTCTCCTTCGAGGTAGCACGCCGTGTCAGAACGAAACCGGTGGAACTACGACAGAGATGATTAATGCTGACATCCAGAGCCACATGGCTTGCACGTGACGTCAACGCACCGTGATTCACCGTGCTGATATCGCCCCTCCCCCCACCCCCTGTGCCAAAAAAAGAAAAAGTTCGATTGTGCGAACTGCGTGCAGCTGAAGGTACCCGCTCAACAGCAAGGCCGCCACTATGGTCGCTAAAGTGACGCCAAAACGAGTCATGGACACGAAAGAGAAGGGCTATGAGTACCTATCGAGGATGGTATTATCAGCAGTCAGAGGAGCCCGATTGTCTCACCTTGGTTATACATATTAAAACGTGTAAGACAAGCATTCAGTTTTCTGCGACACATCAAGGAAACGCGTGGCACACAGAGTCTTAGAACCTTACGAAAAAGTAAGTTCCTCATAAATAACAACCAGGGTAAGAGTCAGACGCCAAATTTGTTTATTCAGCCATTAGATACGCGCGTTAGCACGACATCAGATGCGCCGCTTTTTCAATGCCCAGGAGTTGCCATGTTGTACTGCAGTCAAGATGGAAGACAAAATAGAGGACGCTGCCAACTTTTGACGTAACTCAGCCAGGCAGGCTGACCTCGCATGTAGACATCGCACCAACAGTAGTCGTGCGCTACTAAGCCACCCGTCATGATAATCCTTATCATGGCTATGTGAACCCGGCAAAAGGCAGCACGCTCCACCCCCCTCGATAACAAAAACAAAAACTTAAAGAAAAAAACTCTGTCACGCTTTCGATCAAAACTATTTGAGGTTTCTGAAACAAACAAAAAAACAATATCTGAGGATACCTAAGCACTTGTGAGTTGTGAATGCGAAAGCATGAATGTCGAATCGAACGCCTCTGAGTGCTCCTTCGAGTTTTGCGGTGCAATTATTGAGGCGCTGCCATGTTTTCGGCGTCGAGAGGAGCACCCGCACTCTCCGATACGCCCCGAATTTCCAGTGAAAAAGGTACTCCGAGAAACCCCGAATTTTTACTGAAAAATAAACTCTGAAAAACACTTTCTGAACTTCTCGAATAATAAGCTCCGAAAACACGACAAACAAAAGAAACCTTCTAAACTGCTTGAGCTAAAACGAAAAAAAAAAATGTATACAATGCTTTAATGCTTCAGTAGGATTGTATTTTTCTTCTTTTTCTCTTTTTCTTTTTGTTTAGTTCATAAGATTTTCCCTTCTACGTCCATGGCAATCTGAATGGAAGTTACCCGATAATAATAAGCTTCATGCCATCAAGCCAGAACTTGGTGCATGGGAAACCTCCTATACTAAAAATCGTTTCCACGAAGTACTCCTGTGCCGCTTGAGAATTGGCCACTCGTTCATTACTAATCAATAACTGCTTATAGGTGAGGAACCGCCATTATGCAAGCACTGTGGAGAAACATTATCTTTTCTGCATGTTCTCTTTTTTTGCCGTGGCCTTCTACAACAATACAAGACCTTTTCCCCCTAGTTTTTCAAGTACAACATCCCCTTTTCACGTTGTCTTGGTTCTAGGGGAGCCGCCTCTCATATCATTTGAACGTCTTTTAGCTTTTTTCAACATTACAGCTATATTACACAAACTATAGCCAAGTTCTAGTCTAGTGTTAGTGTACTTTTACCAATGCATTTTTAGCTCACCTAGTTTGGCGCAGTATGGCCGTCGGAGCTCTTGCGCCATAAAACCCACAAACAACGAACAAACAAAGAACATTTTTGTTTATTTTGTATGACATTAGTCAGTTTTGAAGGTTTTTTGTCTAAACCGAAAGGAGGTTGAGTTTTGTAGGGTTTTTTTTTTATTTGTTTTGGGATGTGTCTAAGGGCTGCGCGCGACCTTGAAAATAGGTGATTCGGTACTTCTGGGGCGGTTGTGGTTCTGTATAACAGAAGGGTGGTTCAGTGAAGCCATCAGCTGCATTAGAGACGTTGCCTGTCCCTGTTACTTTTCCTTCCTCTTTTAGACATTCATCCTTCTTCTGCCCCAGTCTTCGTTTAATGTCATTATGGCAGACGATAATCCCCGGCTGTCTACTTCTGCCGGCCCTTCACACTTCACCCTTAACCACCAACAGACAGCCAACAATCGAGCGTCTTGGCACGTAGTACCGTACTGCGCGGATGGAAATATAGCATGAACGACGCCGCTTGCAGACGCCAGCGAAACGGAGTCTTGCGCTTCAAGTAAAGCTGACACGGACTGCATTTGCGCCATCTTGTATTCACATGTCTGCCCAGTTTTTCTAGACTTCCACAACACATTCTGTGTTACCACTGACTTTGCTAAGCTGCTACGGCAAAGGGGTGATTTTTTTTTTCACCTCTGCAGTGTAAGCTTAGAGCGTTCTTCAGGTAAACTTCCTACCGCTTTCCTAGTGCGCGGGTGCTCATCCGGCTACCGCTTTCCTAGTGCGCGGGTGCTCATCCGGGAGAATGCCTACGGGGACATTCCTCCAATGGTCTTTGAACGATCCGAGAGTATTCCACCCTCGTACCTTTAAAGCTGTAAATTTTAATAAAAACGGAGAGATGCAGGCGAGATGGTGAAATTTCGACATCCTGAACACCGAAGTTTGAACTAAAAGTTGACAACACTCACAGGTATCAATGGTGTGTGTTATTCTTTTTTTCTCACTAAACTTGGGTGTTCAAGATTCTGAAAGATTCTAGACCGTGCTTCTGTGTGTACAAAGGTTAAAGAAAATTATACAGGCGTGATCATGCTGACAAAGACTGGTAGGCACAGGATGCGTGATAGACCTTCCCCTAATCGATGTCGTCTGCGGGGTCCCTGGTATAAGCTGGACCTGCTACTTCCGCCATTTCTTACGTTCTGGATAAGCTCGCCGCTCTTCCACCACAATGAACGAAAAGAGAGGCGATCGATAGCATCGCCTCGCTACAAAGCAAGTGTGTCATAGATTCTCTCCAATTTCTTCCAATCGCTGTGAGATGGTGCAGCATGACGTGTCGAAACACTTCCAAGGCAGCGAAGCGCGCGACCGTGACTGGGCGCACGTTTTTCGAAAGGCCCACGAAAGGGTCTACACGTCGAGAGCAAATGCCGTCCCTCAATAGCTTTGTCAAAAAACTTGGCTCACAATCATTTCAACTCCTGCCCGGGTGACTCGAATCTTTTCATATAATTCCTCGTTGCATAACGCTCTCGGTTTCGGTTCTTCGTTACAGCGAAACGTTACATCCAAAACGTTACATATCACTGTAAAAATTATTTGAGAAAATGCATTTTGTTTCAAAAACCATTACAATACCTCTCCAAATTTATTCGCGAATTTCCTCATAAAGCCGTACAAAAACGTTCAGTTCGTCCTCGCAGCTCTCGCATCCGTCGGGAAAAATAGCTCAAACGAGTGAAGTATTTAGATTCTAAGTGTGTGCCATTTCTGATTCGTATGTTTGACATTAAAATAAACCGTAGCTCCATTGTCTCGCATTTCGTGCAGCGGTGGAGGTTATATCCTTGAGTATGCCAGCGAGAAGTTCACGGGCCTGGCAGCATACCAGCCAGTCATCAACGGTAAGTGACACTTTCATCAGAATACTCCCAGCAAGAAAGGGAGTATCACGGGTCTGGTCGTGACTTATGTGACTTCCCAGCGACCATGTTAAGCCTGACTAGCAAGTTGGTCCGCTCCTCGTGCAGACGGTGCAGTGGCGTGGAATTTCGGGGCGCACAGCCAATACCGCAGTGGCGTGGAATTTCGGGACGCAATTGCCGGGTCGCGCTCAGAGAGCGCCGACCCGGCAATTGCGTCTGAGAACTACGCAGAGTGTCCTTCGACGCACCGAATGGATACTAAGCCCGGCCGAAAGCTAACGCAGCACTCGCGTACAGTATGTGTGTGCACTGGATCTCATTGCGAGGACGTCTAAATGCTAGTGGGCTTTGATTAGACGGCGTTATTGGCAGAACTCTCGCGTCGTCTGCTAGTCGTAGCTGTGGCTGCCTCGTTTTTGTACGACTTTCGGCGACACACCAGTTCCTCATAACCGCAACTCAGCCTTCGAAAAAAATAAAAGAAAACGCTACAAAGTGTACGTACATAAAATTGAAAGAATAAAACACGGAGGACAAGCACAGGACAACCACTTCCTTTCAAAAAAGTGGTTCTCCTGTGCTTGTCCTCCGTGCTTGTCCTCCGTGCTTGTCCTCCGTGCTTGTCCTCCGTGCTTGTCCTCCGTGCTTGTCCTCCGTGCTTGTCCTCCGTGCTTTATTTTTTTTTTCAATTTTATGTATTCATGTTCAACCCGCTCGCCTTCACCAGTCCTAGAGTGTACGTAGTTTTCATCGAGAAACATGTACCAGAGGCGCTAAAGCGAACGCGGAACTCGTGGCCGAGATCTTGATTGCCAGCCGCTGAACGGAATGCGGAGCGCAAGTTCGTCTGCTTTGCCTGCATCTTTTGCAGGAGTTGTGGTGACGGCACAACGCCAAGCTCTGATTGGTTCTGAATGAAGAATACAGGCTAGACCTCAAGGCAGCTTTCTTTGAGGTCTACCCAATCTCGTTCAATCGGAGCCAATCAGAGTTCCGCGTTGTTCTCACAACTCCTGCACAAAAAGCAGACGACTTGCTCTCCGCATGGCGTCTGCTGGGATGAAGCATCATCGCAAACGTGATCGCTCCCTCTGGTCTTCTCGCGCATTTTTTGTCATGTGCGGAAAGTTTTTTTTTTTTTTTTTTTTTTTTTTTTTACCTCCTCTCTTATGCGCGAAGGCGCTGGTTTTTGTCTACAGGCTCACCAACGTGAGCGTCCGACGTCATGCCGCGACCGTTGCGCTGCTGTCGGCGCGTGTGCAGACGCTTCACTTGTCGCAATCCAACTTTTGCGCACGCGCAGTGCCCACACTTGGAAACGCCAGCGTGTTTGGAAACACCGTGTTGCTCTATAGAAGTTTGCCAAGTAACGCCGGTGGCGTCGGCTCTTGCTACGACATACCCAGCGGGTTTCCGGCAACGAAAGAATTAGCGTGGCTGCTTCGTTCGAAGGAACTGCATTAATTACGACACGCACATTTGTTTTTTTTTTTACCCGAAAGTATACAAAAATAATACGAGATTTATAATTTAATTGTGGATTCGATTCTCGAAAAACCCCTAAGTGTTAAGGTCAAGTTCAGTCTGTAAAAAATCGGAATTCCCACTATGCGAGTATTTCGTTGTTTTCTGTGCTATATTCGTATACCAAAGCAGCAGAACGCAAGAACGACTGCAAAACTGAATCCATTACTGGCTGGCCGATTGAAAGAAAAAACAAAAAAGAGTGGCATAGCGTGTTTGCAGCTTGACTGTGTTTGTCTCGGAGCTCTTGTTCCAGCGCTGTCGACGCTCGCTGCTGCGCAGGCGTGGCCGGGAACCTGGTGTCGGTGCAGGCGAGTCGCATCTCCACCTACCTGCACCTGAGCGCCCAGAAAGGGAGCCTGCCTGAAGGAGAAGCCCGCTGCGTGGGGCCTTGGGCGGTCTTCTTTGGACCCTGTGAGTAGTCTTTTTGACGAACAAAGGAGGAGGGTGATAGGAAGCTGGGGAAGAAGTGACATACCGGTTCTAACTCAGACATGGGTTTCACAAAAGGATGACACAGGCACTAAGAAGTCTCAAACGCAGCCGAAGTTTATTGGACAGAAGAGAACATTAAAGGGATACCCTTAACAAAAAACAGAAAGGGTGACACGCAAAATTCTTTTCACAAGCATACGTCTACGTACAAGCACAAGAGAAAAAAACGTTCCCGAAACTTGCAACTTACTTTTCAGGTAGTAAATCGTAAGGTTCCGGAACGTTTTCTTTTTTGTGGACTGTTTGTGAAAAGGGGTATACTTGTGCCAGGAGTATTTTCGCATCGCCCCTTTGTCTTTTGTTAAAGGGTTACTGACACCCCCCAAAATATATATATATATTCTTTTTATTTTTTGCCAGGCGATGTGTTATAGTGTCAGAAGAGTACCGAATCAATGTTTTGCTACAGCGTCACGCATATTTTAACAAAATGAAAAAAAAAAAAAAAACTGAACTGCTTGGAACCGACACCACAGGTGGACTTGGGAGGAAGAAGAAATATAGAGGAGGAGAGAGTTTTCGGAAGTCACGTGGCTGTGCAATTCTTTTATTTTTTACCAACGTGTTCCCAGCATTTTAGAAGACACAAAAATGGGTATCATATGCATTTTCTGTTTTTAATATTGAGTGCCTGCCTGCAATAACCCACGACTTTGATTACACTGGGGGATTGTGTCTAAACCATAGGAACGGCACTTGAACACGAAGAAGAAAGTGAGCGCGACTCAAGCCGACCAGTTCTCGATCGGCACTTTCCGGGCAGATAGAAAAAGAATTTCGAGCCGCGAATTGTGTTCTGGGTAGTTGGGCTCTCATTTGTCATGTTCAAGTTAAAACCTTCGCGAGCATAAATACCCTCCCAGTGTCCCTTACGGGTGCCGATTTAAGGGCCTCTTCTTTCCCATAAGCTTCACCTGTGTCCGAGATTTTTGTGTGTTTGTGTTGTCTTGTCGAAAAAGCCCAGCCTCTGGTAACGACACTCTGGTTTGTTTACTCCTTTATTTGAATGCTTCCATCGCCTTGAGAGGCAATGGTCGAGGTGTACCACCTCATTCCTATTCTGTGTCCATTACAACTTCTTTCTTCACGCAAAACTGCCTTTGTAGGCTGAAATTCGGTGTACCCCTTAAAATTTCATACTTAATATTACCAAATTGGTGTTTATTAAAATAAGTACAGTAAAAACTAATACATATTCAAAAAGACAGACTATGCTGAAGAAGCTAACATAACAAATGCAGTTCCCCACGTGTCAAATAAGGTTTTTTTATTGGCACAATGAAGTCACATTCGCTTTTTTTATTGGGTGGTCAGTGCGATGATGCATTGCTTAGTGCTATTGTAAATCAAAATTTTGTTGATAACGATTTCTAGCATCGTGCTCTTCCTTTTACCTTGCCCATGTTATTTTGATGTTTTTGGTTTTTATTCAATCATGAGCGAACTGTATACCCAATCACTTTAAATTGGCAAAGCCTTACTTTCCCTCTGCGTATGAAATTCACTTAATTCCGTCGAGATTTACTCACTGCTCAATGAATCTGCAGCTCTTTGAACCGCGCAATATGAATAGCAGCGTTACATCGAAGTATTATATTCAGCGATGTACTACATTTTTGTCGAGTTGTTGAGTTGGCGCAATAGCGTTTTGTCACTGCACTGTTTCAGTAAGGTACTTTTTTGTAGAGGTGCTCTTCCGTCGCTCTGCACCTCTGCCGCTCTGCACCTCTGCCGCTCTGCACCTCTGCCGCTCTGCACCTCTGCCGCTCTGCACCTCTGCCGCTCTGCTCCTTTGTCGTCATGTTGTTTTCACGTATTTAGTTACATAATGTTATATAATAACAAAAAGCTTTATTTCCCCTTTCAATACATAAATGCGGAAAGCAAGGGGAAGAAGCTGACAAAAAAGAGAGGCCTCATAAATATATTCATTCTATTCCGTCCCACTTTAGTTCATTTCGTAAATCCCACTATATAATAGAAATAAGGTCACTGTTCTTGTTTTTATCAAGGCGTTGAATACTGTAGGGAGTGTGAGCTTGACTGATTGCATAAAATAATTATGACAAAGTGTCAGTGTCCAAGGAAAATATTTTCTCATCAACCGTTTGGTCACGTGTTCAGTTGTCATGGGATGCCATGTATTATACTGGTTTGGCACGTCCTATTTGCAGCATGCCATTGTGTCCACCCTTAGCGCGATATATAGCCTATGTCGATTAAACACTGAGTTAAAATTGAATGTAAAAAACATTATATTGCCACTCGCGTCCGTGAGCAAGCGCGTCCGTGGCCGAAAGGTTATTGTGCTTGCTTTGGAGACATGCGATAATATTGATAAAATTAAATATGAGCCAAAATAACGCTTTATACATCTTAGAGATTGCCATAACTGGAGCCAAGGACGCTGACGTATCTGGGTTGTAGTACCTAAATTACCTTCGCGCGGCCGCAGGCATGCACGCCCGGACTGCCCGCCTGCTTCTCCTGCTGCTGGTCCCTGGTCAGCTGATCTTTGTGGCGGTCATCGACCACGTCGAAGGGCCCGGTGACGCGTTCCGGGGCCCCTTCGTGGGCCTATACATGGCCGCAGCCATCGTGCAGGTCTGTCTGCTGCTGTATCTGGCTAGGGTACTCGTGTACGTGCTCTGGACCAGGGGACAGGACCCAGACAACGCCGCCATCCCCTTCCTCACTGCGCTCGGAGACCTCCTCGGTTCAGGTCTGCTGGCCCTCGTCTACTTGTCGCTCCTGCATCTCTCACCCAACGAGACCGTGGATACCACTCCCGGTGTCCTGACAACGGCTCCGAGCAATCACACCACCTAAGTGCTACGGTTGTCTTGAGTGCTCCGGTCATCTCACGCGTTGTCCGGCAACATTGCGCATCTGCATTTGTGTCTCGGGTGGTTTCACCTTCCTCGGATAACCGGAGTGTGACTGTATCGGAACTTCTTTGGTTCAAGCTACTCGACGTAGCGTCTTCCCCTCTGGCGGATGATCTCTGTATGTAGCGACGTGGTCCCCATTTTATAGCACTTTTCGTGTGCTACTGAACGTACCACCGGTCCTATTTCTACTCAATCTCTCATTTGCAGCCAAACGTTACGACGGATTGCAATCACCGTTCCACAGCGCGCAGTTCAGCAGCTATCACGCGCACATGCAAAAGCCGTCAGGAGAGGTCCTGACGGGTTTAGCTTCTGTTTTATGCCGAGTCCCTTTGGCATGAATGTGATGTCTGCGCAGTCGGTCAAAGGAAGGAACCTTTTATGACTGTTTCACTAACTTCTCGCTAATGGCAGCTTCAACCTGGAAGAAAGTGAATGCTACGCACAATGACGATTGAACCCGTGTTTCTGCGCGCGTTTGGCTCTAGTGATAACGCGGTGCAAGGCGTTTCAAGATCAGGATTACTCTGTTTCAAAATTGTCATCGTAAGACGTCTGAAACCCTTGAGGGTGCTGTAAACTTTTAGTTCTGAGCTCGCGCTCCAGAATTGCCTTCATGTGTTAATTTCTTTTTTTACGGGTGACGTCGCGGTTTAAATAATTATTATGATAATAAACACATCGTGCGGCTAATATTTTACATTGTTTCATACGTGTCTACGATTCCTCAAATGCATACTGTGGCCACGTTGAACATTGCTTCTCCTACGAGCACGGTGCCCTCATCTCAGGCAGAATTCTGTGAACACACGATTGCTCGTGGTTATCGCCTGTGTAACGGACCGTCTGAAGCGCATGTTTTTAACTCACGTTGATTGCATAACATTTTAATAGTTTAAGGGTGATCACTTCCCTTTTTTGTACAGTTACTGTTTTATATAATGTACAGACCCGAAATATGGGTACCCTGTGTAGAGTTCGAGTTCTTAAAGTAAATTAATAAAAAAATATGTTGTAATCCAGCCTTCAAGTTTCTTTGCCGTTCAAATAGTTCAAACTTGTGCAACTCCGCTCCCATCTAAGTATCAGTAAAAATTAGTTTTCAAATAAACTTTATTTACACACAGTTACATATTTAAGTAACACACTTTCAAGCGGCTTGGATTAAAACTGCGTGTTTCTCTTTGCATAAATAATAATAATGATAATGATAATTATCACAGTAATAATTATGATAATATTAATAAGGTGTGTATCCGAGAGTTAATCAACCTCATTGAACTTCTGGTGTCTCACCTGTAGAGAAATTTAGCCAGCGCAGTACAACCGCTAGCCTGGGGTTTTTAATGGGAACCAAGCAGTAGTGATACACGGCCGCACGCCGGTACATTCCTCATCCAGATCGAAACGGGCAGGAATGAGGATTGAACCCAAGGCCTCTGGGTTCTGCAGCGCTACCTTTCGCTTCATTCAGTATAAGAGTCCAAGAAGTAGCTGCTTCTTTGGAATCGTGGTCCCAGAAAAAACAATAAGCTCCCCCTTTTTTAAGTTTCCAGGGTGCGCTTAAGACACGAGCACGTTAAGATGTGCTATCGTGGACACGACTCGCGAGAACATCGGCAAGCGATGTAGTGTCGTCTGCTTCGCGCCTTGCAGAAGACCAAGTGGGAGTGTGATCGCAAATGAAAAAGAGCATTCAATCTTAGCAAAGAACCATACTGTGATTCCTCCTGGATGGCATTTGGTTCTGGGAGTATAGAAAGACCACTGTGTTAAAGCCAGCGTTGTCCTCGATTACGCGTCTTCTATGGGTGATACTCCTTTTTCTGTAGACAATTTATGTCTGCAAGCAGTACAAACTGACATTTAACGTTCGTTCAACTCGCCTCGTACGGCGTCTGTTTTAAGTGTACCAAGTGCTGTGCTTCCTTCTGTAATTGAAAGCCGAATTTCCTTATTTAACTTTTTACCTCTTCTATAAACAAACTTGTGTTTATTTTTAAGCTGTTTACTCACCCTTCGTAAACCAGCCTTTCCTCTCCCAGCCAACCTATTCTTACAGGGCCGAAGTGCCCGACCAGCAGAGCTACGCGGAGAGCTAAATGTTGCTGCGTTAAATTTCACATTTTTGGTGTGTTTCTGGCGTGAAAATATTGGCGCTTGCCATGCAGAATGATGTGATTGGTCGGAATCAAATTAAAGCAGAGTCACTTTTTTTCGCGTACGCCATGCTCCAACTTGATTCGAAGTAACCACATTATCCTTCATAGCAACAGCAAATTATTTTGGTTTGTCTTTTAAATTATCAGTGATCTAAAGGAAACTTACATAAGCTTATTTTAGACGACTCATAAAAAACGTTTCAAAGCAAGAGAAAACTTCAGGGCTGGAACACATCTGCGATAAGTCAACCGAACATCGTAGGTATTCAAGAGAGGAGGAAACTTGTTTCATGCCACCTTCGAAAATCCAGAACATTCATTTCATTAATCTAGAAGATATGGTTTTGGTGAAAGCATATTAAAGATTGATATGCAATGAACACCAGCCCACGGTTTGTGTTTTAACGAATGGTGTGGAGCAATTTTCCCATGTTACTAAATCTGTGCCAATTCCGCACTCTAAGGAAAAAATTAAGGAAAAAGGTAGCAACGGCAAGTATTTCTCCCTTCTACTGACGCAACCCCAAGCGGACACGAGAAGAAGGGAGAAACTAGACGTTTGTCTCCATCTCCCAGCAGGCAATAAAAAAGTTCGGAACTCCCCCCCCCCCCCCCCCCCCCCCCGTCATTTTCTTTCTTCGAGTATGTCGCACGCCTTATTTAATAAATATTGTAAAATTGAATGATACTCTGAACCAATACTCTGAACAAGTATTGGACACGAGGGCTGTGTCAACGCTCGGCGAGGACTCTGATCCAATCACAGCCGTCGTGAGCATAGATGGATGGATGGATGATATTGGCTATGCCCTTTGTAACGGGCGGTAGCTTGCGCCACCTAGCCTAGCAATCAATGATGACCGTCAATGTTGCTTGATGCGCCTTTGAGAAGGGTCTATTCCGCCTCTCAGTCCAAACATGCAGAGCATATCGCGTGCATTCAAGTGTTTACCGCTATTTTTGTCAAAAGAGCAAACCAAGCCGTTAGAAACGGCAAAGTTTCGGAGCAGTGCAACCAACGCTGCGTACACTGGGTCTAAGATTCTTCTTATTCTTCTTCGAATTACGGAACGAGGTGACGACGTTGACAAAGTTATGGAAATCGAGGAAACTGCGTCCAAAACAGGCAGGTTTCGCAGCCGAATGCCTACGTGCCTTTTGTGCTCCGTTCTGCTCGGGTTTTCGGTGCCGAGTGCAAACCGACAACATCAACCGGGTTTTGCGTTTCCGCCTGTCAGCAACATGGCAGCAGCATCGCGACGGCAGTGTTGTGCGTTGTGAACGAAGGCTGGAATTGAGCACTATATAGCTCCTTGGAGCCAAGGAGATTAGAAAGGTAGGAGGGGGCATGACGTCAGCTGCGTAGCCTCCACAAGCCATGCTCCCTTGACACCTCGCTTCTTTCTCATTTCCCTCCTTACCCTCCTCACTTATCGTCACATCACGTGACCGACGCGTGTTGATGGTTGCGGGTAGCAGGGAGCGTGGTGCTGGTGGGTTTCATTTATCATTCATCACAGCCAGAAGGTGTGGCCCGCGCCCAGCCGACCGACTCTATACTCGCTGCGCTTCGTTATGCCTTCTGTTTTCTACAGATCGTTACCATCCTAAAAACGATAGTATTCAACGTGGAACGTCAGCGCTGTAAGGACGTTTTTTGGCGTGTTTTGGGTAATGTACCGTGCATCTGTGGGGAGTATTCCCTTTATCTTCTGGCCACCAACTTCTTCAGTAGCCAAAGCAAGAATAAATTATATACACACATGATTGCGTAACTATGTCGACCCGACAGATTGAACCAATACTTACGCATTTTTACGGCGATGATTTCCGCGCTCACCTGCAAATGATAGCTGCGCTCTCATCGCTCTCATATGTTATATCACGCTACAATACGTTTGGCTTTTTCTTTTCATTGCGGCCGCTATGCAGGTCGTCCACTGGGTCGTTTTATCGCTGTCGTGACAAATTGAACCAACTCAACTTGACTCGAGGCTGAGAGATGTTTTATTGACAATTAGAAGTGCACGGAGCACACCACGCTCCACTTCGATGGAATCCAGCCACCGCCGTGACCAACGGCCGAAATCCATCGTTTCCGCAGTTCGGCGACCGTCGGAAATGCAAGAAAATTGTTGATCGATTTTTCTTATCGTAAAACTATGTGTGTGTAAATACGCCAAGGGCCTACCGGTGAAAGGTAACCCCCGCTGACGAAAATCTAGTGCGGTTGCGGCAGCCGACCACGCTGCAAGTGCCCATCCCGTAGGCGGAGAAAATTAGCGTCCCGGCCACCGTGGTCCCGGCGACGCCAGGCTTTCATTCTATCCGTTGCGGCGATTTCCCTGATCGTCCCGCGTACCAGCAGGGGTGTATCGTCCGCTCGTAATCCGCCTCAACCTCGCTTCCACCTTTGCATTAAATTGCATTATAATCTCAACCACTTGCTTGCTTGCTTGCTTGCTTCACGCCTAGCCTTCGATGAGATAAAACCTACCGGACGGAGCGCGCGCAAGACTGCAAGGAATCCTACAATCAACCATCCTTCTTGCACGTGACATGTCACGCGCACCAATTACTAGAGAGATCTGCGGTCACGTTGGGCACAATATCGTTTAAACATTTTATGACTAGGCTTCACATATATTGCAACGTGCCCCCTCCTAGTATTTATAACCTTCTTGTTCAGAGCAGAGTAGCGTAGATTTCCTGTATAGGCTCCCTATACTCTTAGAAAAAAAGGGTATGGATAGTCCTCCCTTAGGGGAGGAACGGTCTTGTAACCTATGTTCCTTTAGAAAGGGAGAAACTTTCGTCCCTGAAGCAGGGGAGCAAAGTCCCTCCGTCGCTTGCATCTGAATATGGCGGCCCCGAATCGAGCAAATTGAGCCAATAAGGCTTGACGAGGACGCTACGTCTCTTGTACGGGACGAGAGCAGCAGCAAATAAAAGCGTAACACGAGCTTTGCGCAAACTGTGTTTATTTCCGAAGCCAGATTCCCCCCACAGGACCAGCAACTTGCGTTTCGAAAGCAGTTACTCAGTCTTCTCGTCGACAGCACTGCGATGTTAACGGAGACAACCGATACCCAGTTACTTCGCACACTTTTCGTCTTACCTTTGGTGTTCCTCGAGTCACAGTTCCTTCGTCAACCACACATCACGGAGAAGGGTAAACTCAATCCGCGAAACAAAAAGCCGCCCTCGAAAGAACGAACTCGAAGCCGCTGTTTATCGCCTACCAATCGCTAACCACCAGATGGCGGAGTCAAGCAGAGTAATTGCAAGTAGCTAGGCTAGGTGGCGCTAGGTACCGCCCAATTCATGTTCTACAAAAAAATAATTAGCTTTTCTCAGGCCACTACCCCGCTTGGGGATCCTCCACTATACACGTTACACTTATTACAAGTATACCAGGCGAACATACATAGAGCACATACACGGCACACACAAATATCAATACATTGGAACACCACACTAACCTGAACACTACACCCGTGCTCTGCGTTTGCGTCTTTTATACTGGTCGTTTTGAACGTACGGAACTTTTCGGTGACTCCCTAAGCAATAAGAAATATTCCCAGCATGCTGATTTTTTCCCAGCAATGTCATACCTCTGAGAGAATTTTGAATGGCTCAGGGGATGAATCTCTTATTAAAAGTAAACGCTCGATCATGTCTTAATTATTTGAAAGCCAATAAATCAAGCCGCTCCAATGCAATTCGAAGCCATGAGTTTGTTTCCCCACACGGCACGTCGTAGCCTGCATTTCTATTGGTTTTTCTATTTGTGCTGTTCGCGCAAAGCTGCAATTGCCGTCTTGAATTAATCTCTGTAGAGCGGATATTCACTCAG